CGGTAATGACAAAATCACATAAACGTCTGCCCATCTTAATTTGACATATTGTACTTTTATTGTATTGCGAATATGGCAGCCGAATTATTGTTCCCTCCATTTATTGCAGAGAGACAGGAACATGACAACGACACGATAATTTTTACGGCCAACGTTTCCAATTCGGAAGCGAACGCATATTATCCGGAACAGTATGTGTTTTGCAACGCGATGGGAAGCTACATGTCGGTAAAGCTCGTCTGGATTAAAGAAGGTATGCCTTCACCTGAATTATCTTGTTCTGGTTAGTTCAATCTGTCTCCATACAAATGGCCTGCAACGTGATCGGTATCATTGTATTTGGATCATATTTTTTACGCAACTTCCTTTGGACTAACATGTATTAGGTTTGATGCTAAGAGTGCTGAATGCTGTGTATGCACATGAATTGTAAAATTAAGTAAAAGTTATTTACCGGACAGTGTTAGAGATAAGAAGTTTAATTTACGCTGAAAGTTTATAGTAGCTTGAAAAGGAAGTCAATGGTATTAAGAAAAATTTATTTGAGGTTATGGCAGATGGTGTATTAGGAAGATACAAATGTTTTTGAAGTGCAGTTAAAAGAATAATTGAAACAAAATGCGAAAAAGATGACATAATAAGCATAGAAATCGGTCGAGATTGGTTACACTTTATTCCTGAACAAATTAGTGGCAAGGCTTGGTTCTGCAGCCCCACCTGACTGATATTGTATGATTAGCTTACTGAAGCAGTATAAATTAACAAACCTAACTCAACCACTCGCTGAATTAGCAAGGGAAAGAGAGCATAGAAGAGCTTGAAGCACGTGCAGGTAGGCGCGAGAAGATGGCGTGTACACACTCACCCCGCGACACAGCCGCTCGCTGGCTTAGCGGGACAATGAGGGTGCAATCACAACTGGAAGGCCACGGAGGGAGCCGCATTTTAATTCGCAGTGAATTTTCATTATAATGGAACCGACGGAGCTCCAATCCCTACGCACAGTGCCATTGGTAAGCCTCCTTAACCAGTCGCTGGAGTAGTATAATCACGAGGATGCAAGCAGGAGCCGAAGCACCCGCAGGGAAGCGCGTGTGAACTGATACCTGGTGTAAACGAGGATGGCGTATAAGCACTCCTCCCTCCGTGGCACAGTCCCTCCCTGGATTAAAATTGTATGGAAGGTACAACCACGTGATATTTGTAATGCCAACGAACTCGCATCTACTAAACTTTTTGGGAGGCTGATCGTATGCTGTTAATGAAGCGGGATCGCATAACAAAACCTTACAAATTAGTTAATTGTGGTAGTACCCTTAATATATACTGACCTATACTGACCTAAATGCATTGTAATGCATTGCTTATCTTTCCTAAAGGGCTATTTCTTTTGAATTATGATTCTTTGGATGCCTGTTTTTAAATAGGTATTGCACTAAAATGCATTAGAATATACTCCTATGTGCACAAAATAGTAGTTACCGCCGTGCTCTAAAGTACCTTTTTATGCAGACACATCGTCGAAAACAACCGAGGAATCTGCAACCGAACGGACGTCAAGCCAAGGTAATATGAACCGCATTCTTGTCCTTCAAAAAGTTCCTGCATGCTCATATGGATATAATTTTTACAGTACGAAAATATAATAAGCTTTCAATATCATACATTTCATCGCTGATCCGTGCTTTGTGATAAGTGGCCGGAGAAAATTATCCCATTAAAAACAGATTTCAATCCTGATGTGGACTGCATGCAAGTGAGAATTGTTTGAACGAATTACCATAGGTGGTTTTACGCCCCCTTATTGACCTGCAAACACAAATGCGTGGTTTTCTCTTATTGAACGGGGTTTCTCAATGTGATACGTGCACGTGCATTGACTCACAACAATGGTAAAAACTACATAAATGGCACGAAAAAATCCGTGTATGCACTAAATATGGCTTCCAAATTATGTAGACAGTTCGAAAGAAGGATGCTTTTAAATATGATTTTGCACTTTCTGCTTTTAAATCTTTACGAAATAGGCTTTAAATAATTTATAAAAGCTTTTCAGTTCAGTTCAGTTTATTTGAGGAAATATAGGTGTTGAACCTCTGAACTATCTATTTGTTACAAGGAAGCGAACTATATTATAAAGTTGAAATGGAAACATCAAACAACTACAGAGTGTCTTCAGATTGGCAAAGTTTTCGAGCCAGACAGATAAACGAATTGTTCCAAGAGTTAAAAACATTAATGTTACTAAGTGTGTTGTACAGTAGTCTGTCTATGGATAGTTGGCGCTATCTCAGTTTCGGAGGAAGACAAATTAGATGCCAACACACATTAAACAGACATTGGACAATAATAAAAATAAACGTTACTGAAATACAGGCAGTAATATAACAACATTGACAAACTGTTCGAACGAAATGCTAGACGTTGTCGGTCAGGTGGCATTATGACGTTTGGTGGTACACTGGCCCAACTTGCGCTTAAAAGCCTCGACGGAGGTGGACATGACGACATCTGAAGGCAGAGCATTCCAGGTCTCGATCACTATGTTTGAAAAGTAGAACTTCCGAAAGTCCAGCTTGGCGCAATTTACGCGTAGCTTAAGTGGATGAAATCGGAGGTTCGTTGAGGTCGCTAACTCAAAGAAATCAGCAGGTACTAGACAGCAGTCGTGGCCGCGCAGTATACGGAATGTTTGTATAAGGTCGCCTCTTAGCTGTTTGTAACTCAGTGGAAAAAGTCCGAGATTGGACAAACGTGTTTCATAGATTGATTTATGAAATGCGAAATAGTAATCTTTATTATGCAAATTTCCGAGACTGATTTCCAGCTCTTTTTCGGACTACGAGATTAAAAAACCGGGAAATATATCTCGACCCGTAAAAATGAACAACATTTAGCGGTGAAGAGGCGCGAACATCGATTACCTGGGGTCATGAACACAGTGGATAAGTTTACTTGGGAGAACACTCGTATTATTAACGCCTGCCCAATAAGGAAAGGCCGCAAATTTCTGGAGACGCACTCCGATGAGTCATACATGAACCGGCATGTCGATATATATGCTACGTACAAATTTATCAAAGAAAAATTCGAAATGACTTCATCAATCCTGAGGAGATGACAAATGGCAATTAACACGCATTTACACAGACATGAGTAAGAGGTCCACTCTTCTAACCAATGACCCACGAGCCCGTTGCCCTGTCGCTTTCGATCTAGAATATAAAATAGTAGGGGCACTCACCGATCGTTCTTACGGAACTCACTTGTTCCGTTGTGCCTTACGGGCTCTCTCTCGAGCCCAACCAGCAGCCGCACAGCGGCGCATGATAAAGGCCGCGAGTTCGAGCCTCGGGCGTCCAATCTTCCGGTTGGATATGATTGGCTGACAACGGCTAAGAAACCAGAAATGTCCATTTTAGTCGCCCTTGTCTTTTTCGATAATAACATACTGCCTATATCATGCGCCTCTGTGCGGCTGCTGGTTAGGCTCGAGGGAGGGAGAGCCCGTAAGGCACAACGGAACAAGTGAGTCCCGTAAGAACGATCGGTGAGCACCCCCTACTATTATAAATAAGGGTGGACGGAGATTACAGACAAGAATGGTCACTTATCGCCATAAAATATTGGTAGCCCGAAGAACCGGTGAATCTGTTTGCAGTCATAAGTAACTTAAAGAAGCCCTTAAGGTCAGGCAGTTAACATAGTCTTTGCAACATAGGTTTCTTTCTAAAAAACGTATGCAGTTATGACAGGCTACTCTTTCATGCTCAGGTCTGATAACTTCTGTCCAGCCAAATATCAAACAGTCAGATGGACTGGAAGACAATGTAGTCACCTCGACAGGCAACTGCATCTGGGCTGCTTCTTACCTGCCGGAACCACTTACAGTAATGCGATTTGCTGATAAAAACTATTTCTGATTAATTTTAAATATACATTTTTACAACTTTCCCCGCAAATAAATACATGTGAGAATTATTCTGCGATTTCAAGCCCTTTTGACAGCAGACCATGCAATATACGCAGGTGTACTCTCTCGCGGAATGTCAACCCAAATTCCAGAATTTGTTATTGATTAGGCAAATAATTTCAATAGGTTTGCGACGTAAATTATGGTGCACCGTAACCCCTATTAATAAATTACGTTAGGATGCCAGCTTTTACAAGGGTTTATTTTCCAATGCCTAAAGAACCTGCGCAGCGAAAAAGTCGCTTCTGTGAAGTATAACTGCTTCCAAGTATAATTGCTTCCACGACATATTTTGTATTAAAAATGGAAAATATATACTTTCTTGTATATTTCGGTTGCAATTACACCTCCTGCATACATTTCGCTTTGGCAAAGAGCATGCTCTGGTTTTATGGCCAACGATTACTGATACTTGTTAATTATGTAACATAGGTAATGCCTTCATATTTTAAATAGCAAATAGGAACATAAGAATTTGACTCAAGTAAAAATATACAGTATACCGATTAGAAATCCTGAACGCAAGAGCAGTAACAGGTAATTTTAAAATGGTGCGAAAGCTGAAGATCTTTTTGAACAACAAATGTCGCCCATGTTCACACAGAAATTCAAAAGTAGGTGTAATTTACAACCAAACGTTTACAGACTTGATTTTGAATGTTTTTTGTTAGAGGAATTTGAGTTAATTAGGACACCAAAACCAGTGGATAAAATACATATTATTTAGGCAATCATATTTGTAAAATGAAGTTTTTGCAGGTAAAGTAACCCAGTTTATTCAAAAGCTGACATCCTTTCGTAGCTATAATATATGAGGATTATGTTGCACAATATCATAAATCTACTCAAGCAATGTTTACTTTTTGGGGACGCATTTTGTAATCTCGGTGTACATTTTAAGGGATAACACATGGACTGCTAGTACTTGTCTCCGACGTCTTGGCTTAGTATGTTGTTGCTCGCCTATACATAAAAGATAGATTGAATATTGGATTTGTCAAGCAATGTATCTACAGACATTTTATGCAGCCTTAATTGTTCTTCTGATTTATGAATGTTCCCATATATTTTCTAATCGAAAAGACATTTTTCGCTTAGAATATAGCTGTTGATGAGTTGCCCTACAATTGCTACCGTGGACTGTGCAAAGCTCCCGGAGACAGATATAATGAAGTCGAATACACACAAGAAAGAGGTATTTGGGAGTTTTATATATATATATATATATATATATATATATATATATCTGTACGCAATATGCAAATATTAAACAATAATTTTGTTTATGTTACCCCCAGTGCTTGTTTGGAACCTTGCTGAAAGCGCTTTTCTTAACAGCCCCGACCCCGCAGCTGCATTTATCGGTTATCCGGCTTACATTTTCCCAAAATCTAAAAACGCAGTGAGCGAAACCAAACATCTATGTATCAGTGCAAACTAGATTCATCTTCCAAAGAAGGAATTGAGATTTGTTAGTCACGTTAAGGTGAGTAAAACTAATCTCAATGCAAGATACGCTGTTGAATAAGCCGTCGCAAACGAATAAAAGTCACTATCGCCAAACTACTTAGTTTCGTACCATACCATTGTCGTTCACTTTGTCAAATCGGAATGTTTGAACATGGAGAATAGAGCTGACTACTTAAGAAGCAGAAGAGAACAGCGCTTCGGGCAGAGAAAAATGACTCTTTTTAATGTGAACATGGCCGAGCCAAGCATCAAGCGGTTGTCGGATGTAAAACGGCAGAAGGCGATAGGTGCAAGTCGGACATCTTCTGTGGCAAGCGTCACGGGAAGTGCGTGCACATGCAAGGGTCACCGTCGTTGTCTTCTCTCCTCTGCATAAAGTTGACAATTATCTATGTTGAAACGGACCCCTGTTTGCCACATGCAGTTTGTATACGTCCCTTAAACGATATTCGACAATTACGTGCAGTAAGGGTTCCGCTGAGGCGAGTACTTACTCAGCTGGTTTCATCGTGGATCTTAATAATGACAATTGCCGGATTAGGGGCTTAGGAGGTGTAGCATTCACTGTGGAGCAGAAAAAAGGTGGCTTTAGAATCAAACGTGGTGAAACCTTTAAACGAAGGCAGCAACAACAACGAACATAGGAAGCCCCAATAAGACCCACACATTCTTCTGGACCATCAGCCGAGATCTGCATAACTGACTACCAGTGGTGAGGTAAAATCACGAAAAAACTAAGGACACGTCGTTACGCAGGCAGAGTTTAATCATTGCAGAGTAGTCTACATGTTGCTTCTGCTGAATCACTGGCATCAACATGTAATTTTCTTTACCAAAATCTACTCTCGGATTCTACATCACAACAAAAAACACTCAGACTTCCTCCGAACCCTTAAGGGCAACTGTTTAACCAAGCACTCGTCAGATCGTGCGTGTTTTGGCGACGATGGAGCGAAAATGCAGTTACTTGATCAACCTTCACCTTTACATTGTATATAAGGCTGCAACTGCAATCACAAAAACGGTCGCAAGGAAAGAAAACACCAATGATCCAACTTCGGACTTGGCTAGGCACATTCCGACCTCTCCAAAAATATGAACTTGATCCTTAGCTACGCGTGGGCATTGGGAATAAAAGATGTCGAATAAAGTTGACAGAGAGTGTGGAAATCCGCTACGTCCCTCCTGTTTAATTAACCGATCCTGCGAAATGAAAACTCTCCGGCTGATTTAATGACAAAATTATGAATTTTGACCGTTGCTATCCAAAGGAAAGCTATTAACTAGGTCCTGCATTCTCAAAAATGCAATGTAAAAGTTATCGAAGTTCTCCTAATGCCTCAGCTAACTACCACAGGTGCTGAAGCACAAATGGTATCAGAGTCGGCAGGCACTCAGCACGAACGGATAAAAGTGACCGTGTAAACTAAGATAACCTTTTTAAATGTGTCCCGGTTATATCACTTACAATGTGCGATTAAAAAATCGGCATAGATTTGTTGACTTGACTAATGAAAGGCGTCAGGATTTCCGAATGGTTGTTGGTCACTCGCAAAACGTACAAATTCTAGGGTAACAATTGTAAATGTTTTTCGTTAAGAAAATCTGCAATCCATGAATAAACAAATAGCAAATTATAGCCAACTTAACTAACGAGAGGTGATCAGTAGTTGCTCGCAAGCTGGCATGAATTAATAAAAACGATACTCATTTTAATAAAAAACCAATTTAAGCAAATTGGAAACGTAAAATAATTACACGATTGTCGATGGGATCTTCCGTTTTTGTGATTGTCTGGAGGTACTTCATGAAAGCGCTTCTTTACTTCATATTAGAAAATTCCCTCAAACCCTCGGCATCGTTGTCGAAACAAGTGAACTTTGCAATAAAGACATTAACAAATATGCTTAGATCGACTGGGGAACGTAGATGATAAACTATCTTTTTGGGCTGCAGCCGACTGACGGTTATCCGAGTAGTCTGGAATTTTAAGCGATGAAGCCAGAAAAAGGCGTGACACCTGTGGATGTTTCCTTCACGTTGATGCAAATTACTGAGAACTCTTCTATCGCCAAATGAAAAACGTTTGTTTCCCTTTATAATGTAGACATTTTCTGTGTCGATAATTAATCTGAGGCTTCGTTTTGCCTAAAGCACTGTTTTTTTTCGTTCCTTTTCGTAATTGTGTGTAAGCAGGAAATAGACTGCAAAAGGAGTTACCTTATATATGTTAAGAACTGAGCATCACTATTCGGTGATAGTTAATCTGATGTCAAACTATGAGTGTTTTCAGTTTAGCTATTCAATCGTTGCGATGACTGTGTGCTTTATTTCTGTCTGCTGGGACCCGAAACCACAGAAAGTTGCTAATCGAGCATCAAGAGATTCTGAAGATTAGCTCTTGGCAAAAAGTCCATTTGCATGAGCGGTAGGCCCTAGCAAACAAAACGTTTAAGGGCAAATTACTCTTCTTTCTAAGAAAATCGCGCTCAGATTCACAAACAAAGTCTAGGACGGGTGTTGAAAATAGGAAAGGTCTCCGATACATTGCACTGTCCAAATTCTCCCAGATTTCTAATCCCGTTGCTAAATACAATTGCGTAAACGCATTTCCTGATAAGTGGGCATTTCCTAGAAGGGCTGAGGAAAGTGTACAAAATACGTAGCGTTTAAGCTGTCTGAAATTCCCCGATCACTTCCTGTTCTCAATCTTCTGTTAGTTCACGTGCTGTGCTTACGGCGATGGGCGTTGGATCCCGCAGATATTTGTCACCGCTGTGAGATGCATGTACTGCACCTTAATGAAATACCACACAGAATCTATAGTTGTAGTGGCTTTTAACTAAAATTCATATGTAGACCATGAAATATCCTGCTTTGAATTAAGTATGGAATTTTATTTTTCAACTCGATTCCCGGAGGAACATGCATCTTAACTGCGGACAGTGTCCAAAAGTTGGTGGTGCCATCCAACAAGTCCGAAAAAGCTACAAAGATCAATTGTTAGCTGATAT